TATTTTAAGTCTGAAATTAAATTCTAACTAGAAAAAAGAAACAACCTTTACGTACATGTGTTTATTCAAATAGAAAACAAAACGAGAAAGAAATAAAATAACAAAAAGATAAATAAAGATACACCGCTGTGACTAGGTTTGCAAAAGCCCTTTTCCATATACAGTCATCTTTTCGAGATTCCTTCAGTTTCTTTTTTCGCAGATAATTTTCGGAAATTCAAAGTTTTGGTCTCTGGTGCTATGCTCTCGAAATGACTGCTGTGGCAGCTGATGTTTATTCTGCCTTCTTCCATTCAAGATCAGCATTATCAAGTACTCCGGCAACGTTACTCACCACCAAGTCACATATCAATGACTTAAGCAAACTTTAGCATCTCCATCAATTGTAATGAAGGCAATTTCTTTACTCGTTAGTTGTTCTTGTTTTACAAACTTCTTCCTCACAGCAGTTAACTCATATCCAGTATATATCAGCGTATTTACCGACAAAACCCTCCTTTAATTCTTGGTTTCTTTCTTCTTCAAATAAATTTATGGCATAAGCCCTCGCTAGTATCGGTGCACTATCTCCACTCGCTAACTTCAATTTTCCATCTTCAGTGTTCTTCTTCTTTGGCATATACGGCTGCTACCTTACGGCCACTCTAAATTACATTTTTTGGTTTTGTCTGCCTTCAATCTGTTGCAATATGCCCCATGATATTGAAAATAAAGCACATCCTTGGTGCCTGGCTCCTGCTGTTCTGTCGGCTAATTGACCTGTCTTATAACAAATAAAGTATGTCCTCATTGACGAAGAAATTTTTGTTTTCCGTTAGCATGGATCTCTTGCCCAGCTGCCCTTGTTTTAGAAGAGGAATACCTCTGAAAAAAACAGAAGACGCCCCTTTATGCGCTTTTATGTATTGCTCTGCAAGGAGTGTTAACTCTTCTATTGAGGTCGGCATTACTTCTTTTATGAAGACGGCCAAAATAGAGAAAAACAGAATCCCTAAAGAAAGTCCAAAACAACAAAATTGAAAATGTTGCATGCTCGGTTTGATTGAGCCTGTTCATGGACGGTACTGTAAAGTGCAAGTTTCCGTCAATGCCCCTAGCACCGGCTTAAGCGAATTCAACATGTAACACGAAAATGGTGAACTTTTGAATTTAGAAACATCCGCATGTTTATACAGCGGTTATCATGGAACCTTCAATGTGACACAGTAGTGCTATTCCATGAAAAGCGGCGTATGGTCCCCAAGTAAAACAATGGGCGAAACTAAATAAAATGGAATTTTAAAAGTGGATCTGAGGTTATGAAGCCTGCATATCACAGATAAGACGTCAGAAGACAAATGTAAAAAGCAGGCAACATATCCTAAGGGTGATTATACAGTATTCAAGTAGAAATACTGGAACTACCAAAGTTGAAAATTGCCAAATAGAAGAAACTAACAGTACAACATAACATGTATACACAACAATAATGTCGTGCTGAACGATCTTCAAGGATCGAAAATATAACATCAAGTCCAAGTCTGCGGAACACACTTCAGTTAACTGTTCCTTGATTAAGAGCTCACTCATTTCGTGAAAGGGCTGCTCTGCTTTGGCCCTATCTGTCCATCTTGTAACATAGTGTCTGAACCTCTCTATGAATTAAAAACTAATAGGGAAGCGTTCAGCTTTGTCTGAACTTCAATCTGAAACCATCTTCAGTCAACTGGTACCTTAGGTGGCGGCGTGGCCGAGTGGTTAACGCGTCGGACTAGTAATCTAAGGATTGCTGACCGCGTGGGTTCAAACCCTGTCAGGGGCAAGCCGTTGTTTCCTTGAGCAAGAAACTACATTCATTGCTTAGTACTGGTTGGTTCCAGGAACGGATTCGAGAGTGTTTCAATAAGCTTATAGCTTCCAACACAATCAAACTGAAATAAATTTGTATAAACCAACTGGTACCTTTTTGAAATAGCCCCTTTTTTAACTTCGAATTTTTGTCAGAATTACCTATTGACTAGTTAATTTCAAAACAAAAAAATATATCAACATAAAACTTGGAACACTTGATGAACATATTAAGGCAAAATTGTTTAACAATTGTCATTATCTTGAAAGAAATATATATTAGTGTTTCATCCCTTAAACTGAAATTTTAGTCCAAATAATATATTAAGGAGAATGATTTCAAAACTATGAAGTTATCAACACGAATCTTGGATTTCTTGTTTGTCATGGCTACGCACAGTTGCAAGATAAGTGGCATTATTAGGTAAGCTATGTCTTTTAAATTATGTATATTTTACCTAGAAAACGATTAAAACTAGTAGCTTTTGAACCACTCTAAAGTCCACTTCATGAAAATTACCAGTATCGACACCGAGGGAATAAACATTTTGTTTTCATTTATCAGTGCAGATTCTGTGCCAGTCTCTGTCCAATTCAATACCCAAGATCTGAGTTTGAGCATGAAATATGTCATTTTAACTTTGGACCCAGAATACACGACTACAGATGATAGCGCTAGAAGTAAATAAGTTTTCAAGCTTGCAGTTTAATATTACACACGTTTTTACTAAATTGAAAAGCAGTCTTCCGTACACCCGGCGGCGCGCACGCTGATACTGCGATCTGCGGGAAGCGCGTAACGGCGTTTTAGTTGTTTATTGCGCTCTAATAGCGACTGCACGAAGCATCTTTAGTGTAAGATCAATTGCGGCCAAATATTTAAAAAGACGTTGGAGTGTTGATTTATATTTCAAATGCTAAGATGAAGTGGACTTTCAATGCAGAGCATGTTCCTTGAGTTGTAGTAATATCAGCTGTTAGCTATATTATAAATATATACATTGTGCATGCTCAGTAAAATGTCTAGCCAGTCTCGATGTTAGTAATTCTTGGAGAATAAATTTACATCTTGTGAAGTATACACAAGTTTGTGTTTTATAACTATTTTGTGAAGTCTACTTGATTATTATTACTTTAAAAAAAACAACAACAAAAAAAAAAACGGGAGAGTTTTACAAACGGCTCGTAAGATTGGTGAAACATGCCTTATCACGCCTGTTAACAATGATACAGGTTAAATCTGTTTTGTAGAAAATAGAGTCGTTAACAAATTTAAGACCGTTAGTGTATGTAGACGACGATATCAATTCTAATGTACTAATCACCACTGCACATTTCCTTTCTTTAAATCCAAAAACAGGAATCCCAAATAAAGAAATTAGTAATGACAGTGACTATAAACCTTACACAAATACTGGTGACATATTAACTGAAAGTTTGAAAAGGGCCAGAAAAAAGAAGATATTTTTTTTTGGAACAATTGAGAAAAGAATATAATTTATGTTCAAGGTAACGTGACTCAAACTAAATAAGAAAAGTATGCGTGTTTCTTCGCAATTTCAGCCAAAAGTAAATATTGTTGTATTGATAAAAGAAGACTCGTGAAGAGAAAATTGGAAATTATTGAAGAATCGTCAAATTGCTTAAAGTAATGATGGAGAGATTCGAGCAGCAAAATTTGTTGTTTCATCGGGAAATGAAATAGGTCTACCAATTAAATGTTTGTACCCGCAAGAGATGTCAAATTATGAAAATTGTGACGAACACAAAATTATAAAAAGTGATGTCAAAGAAACTAAACGTTTAAGAAAGCTAAAGAAAAAATTAAAAAAGTATTATAGGAAAGTACTACATGAACATAAACTGAATGCACCAAGTCATGAATATGACAATCAAAGACATTTGAATAATATTATTTCTTATTTAAAAACAAAACAAAAACAAATAGTCATAGACTACAAACTTATTTTTGTTTCAAACTGCCTCTTATGTTTTTTGTATTGTTGCGTGGTAAACTCGTTAAACTCGTGCAGCGGCTCTCGTAAAACCCGTGAACGGAATTTGATGAAACATTATACCATGTTGAGGAGAACTCGTGTACAACGGCTCTTTATATAGAGATTGGTTTCGTTGAACATGTGGAGCATTTCTTTATGGCATATATACATGTATTGCTATTCAATTTCACAAATTGTAGCAGTATTACAGAACTTGCAACATGGATATATTAAGAAAGGCATGTGGCAGGTGAGGGTTTCCCATGTTACTTTTTCAACTTGCAAGATGAAATTTATGCGACGAAGTTATTAATAAACTTATCTCTTCAAACAGACATAACATATTTTAACTTCCCTTTTCCTATAGCCAATATGATTGAATAAATATCTTACTATTTGTGGTGTATAGATAACCTGATTTCGTCAATAGTGGCAATGGCCCGGAATAATTACTTTTGTATATAGCCAAAAAGTAAACCGACAGTAATTCATTTCTACTTTAAAAGTCCAAATTAATTTTGGATATAATTATATGCCATTTAATTTAAAGACTAAATTTAGGCATTCACGTTTAGACCCTTTAAAATCAGACCGCGTTGAAGGTAATTATATCTACCAAGTCTATATACTTATAATAATCGGCTGATCACGACAATATTTAAGGCATGCAATATAGCAATACCAATATGAAATCACCCTATAATTTTCCCGTTAGTATATTATTTATCAAAAAGGACTTTATTATTTGATAAAAGGCTAAAAATTTCTTGATAATTAAAAAACCTACACTCCTGCATACTTTATGTGATTTCCGGTCAAATCTTCAGCTTTCCTTTATAACCGCTATCAGTATACTAGTAACAAATATATTAGAAGTTGCGTGCATTTATTTATATTTTTACCATGATATTTGTTTAATCTTGAAGCATCATATTTGTTTTATATTGAAGCTCTCCTATAAATTTGATAAAATTCTTGATTATTTTTCCATTCTATACTTTGCGTCTTTCTAAAGAAAAAAAAAGTTCTTATTACTTGTTATAAACTGATTGCCCAACCACAATGTACACTAAAAATACAAAGGAATCGTGTAGAAATATCATTGTTTTGTTTTCATAAACAGAGTTTAAAATTTTGTCGTAACAGGTAAACAGCTAACATATCCTGCATTATAAAGCCACCTGGCAACAAGCCAAATTGAAATACCCGTTGCAAAACGAAAAAGCTTAAAAAAGATTTTATGAAGTGCGCATGTCAATGTTTGGTAGAAGGCGTTGAGATAAATATGGAGAGGTATGTTGATTTTATTTCAAATGTACTAATATTATAACTTTACGTGTTTTATCTATGTAAAATAATTCATCCATTTTGTCATTGTATTCTTATAAATAGATATACTTTGACTTATTTACAGTTCTTTCAAAAACAAAAAGCGAAAGACATGTAATCGGGAATGGGTCTATTTTACCAATTTCAAAGTAGTAAACGATAGCAATTTAAATCATCGCAATGTTTTGCAGTTCATATGTAAAACGGCGAACATAACATGCGATTCACATAGTAATATCTTACACATGTACGTTAGTTCGTCTAGATTGTACCATTTTTAGTTCATCTTAACCGTGAATCTCGACAGAATCTTTTTTAACCCCTGTGTTCTGCAAACCACCGCAATAGAGGTATGAAGGCAATGAATATACATGTATAACAGCTCAAAGGAAGATAAAATGCGCGCAACCTTTAATCCGATATTAACACGGTTGGAGCTATGATGCGGTTGTAACAGGCTTGTGTTACTATGTACAGTAACAAATTTAAGGCCATTATTGCAAATCTTGATCATTATGCAATTTTGGACGCCTTGTTACAAGGCATATTTTTTCAAAGTGGGCTAGTTAAAAAGCGCACGTGCAAAATAACGTAATCAACCCTCAGTGACTTTCAAGATGGTTGTTGTCGTTAAATGAACTTCAGTCACTTGCACTAAGAAATCTAAGAGTTGATGGCATGATCAATCGTAACATTGAACATCTATAAACTGAAGAAAAAATAACTACATTTTGTGTATGTCTTCAAATTGACGGTAGAACGTCTGGGCTGTATAGACATGAAGACAGCAGAAATTTAACAAAATTATTAAATGTAACGGAATTGTCATGTACGAATCTAGATCCAGGACTACATCTCCAGATACATGTTAAGAAACAATAAGTTTATTTGAAAAAGGAAAACCTTGGACCACTGACAAAACAGGGAAGAGATCTATTAGAAGTCAGCTAGGCTGTGACTTGACAACATCAGATTTATCCTTGAAAGCACACAATTTCATAAAAAAACTAGCACTAAGCGTTTTTTTAAAAAAAATAAAGAACAATTTTCAATAAAAACTACATTAAAATAACAGTTTCTCATCTTTATTTTGTGTTTCTAAGTAAATTTGAGGTTTCTGGCTAGTACGTGTGTTGAATTGGATGAGATACTTGCTTACATTGAAAACAGTTTCTGTCCGTTTCTTTGTAAAATAAAGCAACTGAGATAAGCTGCAATTAAGGTACTTAAGACGGTAACACTTGGATGCAGGTTGCCATTTTGCAATAATGGCCCTCGAATCAATAATGATCCCTAAGGTTATAATGATTATCTTCGGGTCATTATGCATAATGGCGAGCAGCAACCAAATATTAACTTCTAATTGATTACGAACTAGAATCAGTCGAAGCTACCAATAATCAAACAAGGGTCATACCGATGATCTAACTGTAAATTTTATAAATATACTAGTTGTGCAATACTATAAGTCAATCACAAAAGCGTTTACATTATCCGGTCGTACCATATTATAAAATTGGTTAGTTTTTCAGTTATTACATTTTGCATTTTTATTTCAATATAAATGAATTAAAGTACACCAACACGAAATATTGTAAATTTGAGTAGACTAGTGGAGCCAACATTTGATTATTATGAGCTTCATTCCGTAGTTAAATAAAGAACATAAACTCATAAAATTCAAATTAAGAGCTATTTTTTTTTTGTTTTTATGAGCTTATTTTGCTTATGGACGTTGGTCCAGGTGGTGTCTATGAGCTCATTTGCCTCATAAACATCAAATTTTGGTATGTCCGTTAGGAAGTCCAGGTTATGAAGCGCGCAGTTTATGAAAATGTTTTTAGAGTAATGCAATTGTACACCTGTTTTGGTTTTAAGTTTTACTTTCGGAATGATTTTTTTTATGATTAGTACGTAACTATATTTTTCTCTGCAATAATTATTTTCATAATTGAAAGTTAAACCTATAACAGTTAAGCATTTTTGAATGTATTTGATTTCGGACAGATTGAATAGTATCATAAATTTTACTCTGAAAATTTCATTTGCCAGCAGCATTTTCAACAATTTTGGCTCCTCAATATATCTATTTTATATCATTGGTATTTATATATAACAACAATGTATGGTATTTATTAGACATTTATCACCCTAATTATCAATTGTGTTGATTTTAACTAAGTCTGGTGAATGCAAATGTGTGTAAAACTAAATGTTCTCGAATAATATTGTGTGTATGAAATTCACGAGGAACTGAATCCAGTGGAAAAATATCTACAATTCATAGAATAAAATGAAAATGCCTTTCCTGGAGTCGAACCAGGGCCTCTACACTAATAAAGATGAAAACTCTGCAGCTAAGCGCAAGTAAAAACCTAATTGTTCAGGTGGTAAAATATTTATGGATAAATAATATGCTTATCGACAACCCTTTTTGTCATTATTGATGTAAATACATGTAGATTATGAAAGTCGAGCTGTATACACTGTTATCGGAAACTTAACTCTACTTAACATTTAAGGTATGTCGTCTGCTTATTAAACTACTTCCGGATTATTATAGATCCGATTTGAAGCATAAATGATAAACCACAATAACATATATTTCCGTTTTGAAATAAGCTTAATATCAGTCTGCTCGTTAAACTACTTCCGGGTTATTTCTGAAACGTTAAAGTACACTTTACAGTCCATTATTGGCTTTTTATACTCTGAATTGACTAGAGTTTAGATATTTGGCATTAAACATTGTGTAGGAGATCTCTACTAAGATTGTTCAAATTATAGCCCTTTGGGTCATTGATTTTCACTAAGTACATAAAGAAACGCTTTAAAAATCTTCTTGTCTGAAGGTGCAAGGCTTAGAGCTTTGATATTTGGTACATGATTTCATCTATAGGTCCTCTACCGAAGTTGTTCAAATTTTGCCTCTAGTGTCAAAACTGGCCCGGCCCGGGGGATCATAGGTTTTCCACATATATGAAATTCTTTAAAATGCTTCTCTGAATTGACAAAGGCTAGAGGTTAGATATTTGGCATTAAACATTGTGTAAAGGAGTTCTAGCAAAGTTGTTCAAATTATAGCCCTGGGGGTAAAATCGTCGCCGCCCTGGGTCAATGATTTTCATCATGCATCATGTATATAAAGTAAAATCTTAAAAAAACTTCTTCTCTGAATTGACAAAGGCTAGAAGTTAGATATTTGGCATGAAACATTGTGTAGAAGACCCCTACCAAGATTGTTCAAATTATAGCCCTTGGGTAAAGATTGGCCCTGCCCTTGGGGGTCATTGATTTTCACTATGCACATATAGTAAAAACTCTTCTTGTCTGACGGTACAGGGCTTAGCACTTTGATATTTGGTATATGATATCATCTATAGGTCTTCTACCAAATATATTCAAATTTGCATCTAATGTCCAAACTGGCCCGCCCTGGGGTCATAGGTTTGCAATATATGTATATATTAAATTCTTCAAAAATCTTCTTCTCTGAATTGACAAAGGCTAGAGGTTAGATAATTGGCATGAAACATTGTGTAATAGACCTCTACCAAGATTGTTCAAATTATATCCCTGGATCCAAATTGGCCCCACCCCGGGGTTATTAATTTTCATTATATACATATAGAAAAAACTTAAAAATCTTTTTGTGTGAAAGAAAACATTGGAATGTCTAATACATGTTACGCAGTTTTTATGTAAAATATACAATACTTTGGAGTTAGTCTAAAGGTCATGATTTTCAGAGATATTTATGAAATGATTCAGGTCATAAACTTTAGCAAGACAGATGTGAGCTTTGTAGATATATTAAATGAGACAATTTGAGCTTATTATAAGGACATTATTATTCACTCCATGTTTATAATAATGTTTATGTTTTTAGAAACTCGCAATGCTCTATTAAAAAGATGTTTTTTAAGAAAAGGTTACGGTATCTGCATTTCAAAGATTAATACAGCTATGTTATACTGTTAAAAGGGGAGCGGTAGCCTAGTGGTTAAGGTGCCTGCCTCTCAACCTAGAGATGATGGGTTCGAGCCCTACTCGGGTTAGGACCATGTTTCTTTATATGACACCAGTACTGGTTGGTTCCAGGAAGCGGACTCGAAAGCGATTAATGTAAGTTGCAAGAACTTGTTTCGCAATCGAGCTTAAATAAATATGTTTAAACCATACAGTTAATTAATACCTATGTTTTAGTCAATAAAATATTTTATTTTTTATTTTTGAATCAATTATTGTACTATGGCCTTTGTATCTTAACATACGACACATCTGCACATATGCCTAATGATATGACATGCTGAACCAAATTCACTGGACAAAACTGCAGTTCAGTTGTATAGTTACAAAAATCTACTTCTTAATATTAATGTGGTGGCATTGCAAATTTATTCAAAATGCATTCTTGTTTTGTGATATGTGTTACAGATAAACGGTATACATAATTATTAATATATGCACTTTTAATGAACTTTACTCAATCTAACCGAGTCTGCAATTTTCATATAATTTTTCATATAAATTTAAAAGCAGTATATTAAAAACTCATTTCATTCAGGCTGCTTACTCTGTAAAATGTCCTAAGATGATTGCTTACGATAAAAACTTTCATTCCGTCAATATTTTAACATGTAGATAATGCCTTCAAAAACTGTGATGCTTTGTTTACAAATACCCCCATGAAAACATTCTCAAATGAAATATTTGTTCATTCGGTTGCATTCATTGTATATTCTTTGTTTCTCTTTTTATCAGAATAGTGAAGCGGTACCGAACACTGGGTAACAAAAAGCATTAAAAATATGGATCACCAAAAAGAGATAGAGAAGAAGAAATACAGAAACTGGGTGAGGGGTGGACTAGCTTACAAATATCTTAAACAAGGTCTTGAAAATTTTGCTGATGATGTTGTGAAACGAGAACACACAAGAATCCTTGCGTCTATCAATAACACCGCACACACTAACTGTAATTTCTGCTTACTACGAAATTTGCAACCGTTACATACATGTAAAAAGGGACATAATGGACAGAAAATTTGTCCATACGAACTCTTTAACTGTAACTGTGTACATAGTAAGAAACAACCATGCCCTTCAAGCATATGTGATGGCGTTATGGAAGAAATATTAAAGAGTCATGGATCCTTACCTCCTCAGCCAAACTGGAAAAATACAGATATAAAGAAATGGTGTACAGAGCCATGGGAGGTGGCCAAATGCTACATAAATGCACCTGGCTATGCAGACAAGAAAAATGCAGCTGATATAGATGCATCTGGATTGCTCCATGTTTTCATAAATAATACCAATCTTCATTCACATTTAGCATGCTCGATGACAGGCAACACTAACATATTCATCAAGGTTGGTACAACAAGAATGTAAAAATAAAAGCAGCTTGCACAATCATATATGTATTTTCTTAAAAAGTTCCCGGCAAAGATACTGGTAGTACAGTTAATGGAGCTGTGCCTGAAGTTTTAAAGGGTCCGCTTTATGAAATAGAAAAAAAAACATTATACATAAAGAACGTCTAAAACGGCAAAAATAATTATGTTGTAGGCTCGTTTTGATTAAGCCTGTTCATGGACGGTACAGGAATATCAAAGCTACCGTCCAAATCCCTTTGTCCGCATTAACATTCCTTATCGATAAAATCAGATCCACCCCGCTCGTCAGAAACAAAGTTATCGTGTGACTTAATTATTAATTATTATTTAGGGAAGTCACTTACATACTAATTTGTAGAAATGTCCATCGTCATGTCGAGGAATAGACCAATGTTGCTATGAGAACAATAGGTAACAGTAACTTTTCATATGAGTGGGTATTGTGACTAAGATTATATAGCGAAAAAAACCTCCGGTATAATCGCCATTTAAATATTAATTTTTATCCTCATAATGACTGGAACCATTTAATCGGTTTGTTTGTTCAATTGTTTCTTTGATTATGGAAGAGGACCAGGTTACTTTCATTACAAATTAATGGATCTGGAAGTTTTGAAAACTGGTCTCATGCCACTTATATATATATACAAAAAACATAAACATAAATAATTGTTCCAATATAATCATTGTGAACATTTTGAGTTCATTTCAATACGACCTTTTTCTAGTCAACCGTCAGTAATGTGTAATTGTTCTTTTTGTGTGTGCATAAGTATCCAATTCTTTAAAATTTCACCAAATGCTGAACCGTTTTGTCTTTTAAGCCATGTTATTGTTTACTTTTCAACATTAATCTTCAAATCTACTTAAGATCCTCACATAAAATTTTATACATATCTTTGGAATAATATTTAAAACTCAATTTCCGCACCTCTGGCAAAAGGAATGTTCGGCAAGGGGAAAACTAACGAAAATACCAGTTAAATTTGTACTAATGTATTGTTTATTCATTTTACTTTTTTTAATTTCCTCAGACGACTTTAAAATTTGAGATTATTTGATAACAATTACTTCTTTTGTAAAAGTTTAAAAAACATATATCTTTGTTAAACCTTTATAAATATATTGAATTCAGACACGTGCCAGAAGAAATTCTATTTTCCATTCACCGTCAATGGAAATGGAAGATAAAGAGTTGAATGAATGTGTGGATGATATAATTGCGATCTTGGAAGATGCTAAAGAAATAAAGACGAGAGACGATGCCCAAAAAGCGGTTACGAAACTGAAAAAGGTTGTTTTATGAATTTTTACTAAATTAAGCGTGTTTTTTTTTCCAGTAAGGTAAATGTAGGCAGATTAAATGGAAATACCTTACGATAACTTAACACTTCAATGATTTCTTTATTATCTGTTAAAAAAGTATATTTACGACTTGTGAATTGTAGTTGCTAATGTGCCTTTCTTAGTAGTATATTTATGCATATATATTATAAATGTCAAGCGTTAAATTTATTAGTTATATACATAAACAAGTATTTTGATAATATAGTTGACATTTCAATACACAGGCAAGTGTAATTATTGTGAGAACAAGGGTTTGACAACGAGATCACTGTGACCATTATCTTCTGTAATCCAAAAATAGGGCTCATCTTCAAGCCATTGGCGAAATTCTTGAAAATCTAAACACCTATCAAGAAATTTACAAAATAAGTAAATGTGACCTAACGATCTCAAAATCAAAAGGAGCCATCTAATTTTATCAATGTTCTTATCAAGTTATAATTACTTGGGCTTATTCTTTGTCAATTTATTTACTGGGTGTAACTTGATTTGTAGTTTCACATGGCAGGGCTAAAGGTCGTCACACGAAAACATGTCAAAAGTCAAATTTGGTGCATTTTCACAAAAACATCTTTCGCCCAGCCATGCAAAAATACGACAAAAAGAAGACAGCAAAGGTAATTGTAAGATGTGGCGTGTTCATGTGTTTTCACGTGGCACTTTTTCGTACTTGTTCTCTGATAAGCGAACTAGGAAGTTTCGTCGTTTTGACGTTTCGCCACTCAAAACGCTCAAACGAGGACAGTAGCTTCGATGGTCATAGGTTGTTACAGACATCACTGGTTGAAAATCGAAAATCATTGCTTGCTATAGAACCTCAGTGGTTGAAAATCCAATGGTTGTTATGAAAGTCTCTGGCTGCTATGATAATTCAAAGATTCCCATTAAATTTCAATGGCTCCATTGATTTCTTTAGAAAGTTAACGGCTGCTATGGAAAATCAATGGCTACTACTGAAAGTCAGTAATAGGTATTGTAAGTTTATGGTTTTTATGACAGTCAATAATTGCTGTGGTACTCACTTATTGCAATAAAAAGTCAAAAGTTTCTGTGGAAAAAAGTTCGTATTGCTATGAAAGTCAATGAAAGTCTATGGTTACTTTGGAACTCAATGTTCGCTTTTTAAGTCTCTCTTCCTATTGAATCATTGGTTGCTGTAGAAGGTTATTTTTAGTTAAGAAAGTGACTGGTTGCCGGTTGTAGACTCTAAATGATTGCTAAGAAACTACAGGTTGATATAGAAAGTCAGTTATTGAAATTTAACGTCATTGGTTGCTATGGAATGCCAATGTTTACTATAGAAGTCACTAATGCTATGGAAAGACGCTAGTTGTTACATAAAGGCAATGGTTGATATGGAAATACAATGGTTACTATGTTAAGTCAATTGTTGCTATTAAGGTCATTGGCTACTGTGGTAGTCACAGTTTGCTTTTGGGGATTAGCAATTGCAATAGAATTTCAATTGTCGCTATGAAAAGTCAATTGCTGCTGTGAGAGTCAATGGTTGCTATGGAAAGTTTAATATGACTATTGAAGTGATTGGTTCATTGTTAAAGATCAATACTTGCTACAAAATCACAGGATGAAATGAAAGATCACTTTTACTGGTTTTGGAAAATCAATGGTTGCTGTCAAAAGTCAATATTTTCTATAAAAAATGTTGAATTGTTGCTTAGGAAGGTTAATTGTTTCTTTAGAAGTCACATGAACAGGCTCGAACGAAGCCTGCAATATTTTAATTTTGCCGTTAGAGATTCTAATGTTTCTCAATTGTATCCAAAGTCAATGTTTGTTATGGAAGTCACTGGCCGATAATTAATGCAAATGGTTGCTAAGAGGTCAGTTGTTGTCATGGAATACTGTTGGTCTAAAGGAAAATGTTGATTGCTGTGAAAATTACTAGTTCCTAAGGAAGTCGCTGGTTTGTAAAGAAAGTCATTTGTTGCTATAGAAATAAAAATTTTCAAAAAAAATTTTATCGTAATAGAGTTTCTGCTAGCATGGGAGAACTGGGGCTTCGAAAAATAATTTTAGCAAGAAATGCACAGTTTTTTTTAATAAAGTGTTTCTTTTTTAAGCCCGATGGGGCTGTGGGAGTAATGGTATTTTAAAAGTTTTTTTGTACTTGGAAGTCGAAGTCATTGGTTGGTATGGAAAAACAATGTTTCCTATTGAAGCAACTGGTTGTTATAAAATCAATGGTTGCTTAGAAAGTCAATGGCTGGTATTGAGGTCACACATTTTAATTGAAGATCAATGGTTGATGTGGAAACATACACAGGTTGATTTGGAAGTCACGGATTTCATTGTTATTCGTCTATAGCTATGGAAGTGATCCATCGGAAGCATTAATCACGGTTTGATTGAGTCTGTACATGAGGGATAATGAATAAGTGCAACATCCCTCATGTCCCTAGCACCTGCTTGAGCGGTACTCAATTCTCAAAACGTAGTAGTGCTGGCATCAATGATCTCAAAGGACCAGACAAATATAACAACACTGAAGTGAAGTACGGGGCAATTTTTTACAGCTGCCACACAGCAGTCTTCTGGCGCAATTGAAAGTACATTGTAGCTTTTGGAAGTAAATTGTTGCTTTGGAACCTCACAGGTTGCTGAGGAAACTAATTGGTTGCTTTGAAAGTCTTGGGTCGGTACGGAAAATCCTTTTACGTTATGGGAATCACTGCCTTATATGTAAAAACTATATGCTAAGTCACTTGTTGCTCAGGACAGTCACTGATTGCAATGTAAAGTCACTGGTTGCTTTGGAAAGTCAATAGCTTCTTTGGAAGTCACTTACTGCTCTGAAAGGCACTTGTTGATAGGAAAAATCAGTGGTTGATATGGTTGCCATTGTTGTTATGGAAAGTGAATGGTTGCTATGGAAAGTCAGGCGATTCTATTCAGTAGTTTTGTTGATGTTGACAGTCAATGGTTATTATGTTTGATTAAACAAGAAATGTCTTTTTAATGGATGTCTGTATTCAGTTTTTTTAAATAACTAGTTCAGTAGCCTCCTGTAGCATTAAGAAAAAAACAACAACACGAGAATTCACATTATAATCAAGATGGGCTTATTATCGACACATATGCATCATTGAATTTGTAGGGTATCCATGTGTTTTGCAGCTTGAATATTATTTGCGTTGAATCATTGGAATCCCTAATATTTGGCTCTCATACCCTCTTGTTTCCTTAAATAACTTAAGCCATCATGTGAGACTTCATGCTTTCCAGTGTTTCACTATAATATATCAGATGATTCTGATAAACCAAAAGTGAAATTTATAAGATGTAATTTTCACTGTAGCCAGACTATATTTGAATGCGAGTGAAAATAATATTGTTACTAAATGGAATAACAGGCAATCATGTGGCGTCATGATGTGATGGCGTCATAAAGGAGAGTGCATCTGGTAATCACTCATTGAAATATATTTCTATCTTACATGCAAAACAAAAAATATCCTCTATATATCTAATTATAGTTACGGTATGATGATTTCGTAATAACAACCCACAACGAGTTGGAGGTATGTCGGGAAGCTTTGTCTACCGTCACAAGAATGACTGTTGAACTGAATCAGTTGATTCAAAAAACAAAGGTTGACATTGATATAAAACAAGCCAGCGCATCTAAAGCCATAGATAGTAAAATACAAACAGTTCTACAAGATGCTGCGGAGGCGCTAGCTAACAATGGTGAACTTAAAGAGGTTGAACAAGCAATCAAAGTGTTAAATACAAAAGTGGATAATTCTGAAAGGAACTTTAAGCAGGTGATTCTAATATATGTAGCTTTATTTTTAGTTCTTGTTTGAATATCAATTTTTTATGCGATATTGTATTTTCAATCCGCAGGGCTAGGCATAGACACGAAAATACGTCAAAGTGACCATTTTTTCGTACTCTCTCGCCATGCAAGCAAAATCACGATAAAAAACAAAATAAAACGACAAAGTGACGTTTTTGTTATTCTTTGGCTTAGCGCGGTGCGCCAGCCGAAATAAAAATGCTTTGTCGTTCTTTCGCTCTGCGGGGCACAAGGAATAAAAACACAAAAATAAGAAAAAAGTGGCAATTTTTACATATTTTCTTGTTTCCGCATTGAACTATCTTGTTTTCTGTTTCTGAAAATGGTATACCTCTTCATATGGCCTCACTAAGTTCCCCCGTACATTCCTATATTGGTATTCTATTCGCAAACCTAATCAATTAAAAAACGTGATAGAACTGAATGAATGTCATAGGTTCGTGTGCAGATAACTGAATCATAGCTCAAATGTAAGGTCATTGTCAATATTTCTAAAATTTCTTAGTGCTTTAGAAAATCATCATTGTGAAACATTTCTGTTGACATGACTCAAACATGTATTAAGTCAAATAGGAAAAAATGTCTCTCGCAAGAATTAAGTTCCTAATATAAAAGTCATAGCCGGTGATTAAACTTAGGATATTTACTTTCTAACGGTCATTTTGCGTGTCTGTTCGGTTTATTACTTAAAAAATTGCATGCATACATGGATTACAAACATGACTACACTATGTGTAAATTCCATATCCCTAGGTCAATGGCTAATACTACGGCCAATTTATAATCACAATAAGTAGTTCATGTGTCACGAGAAAACCAAAGACCCGTTTTCAAAATTCAAAGTCGCAGTAGAAGATTGCTCTAAGTGTTATTTTCATACAGTTTTAAGTGCAGTTTAAGTATGTTACGGTTTCCCATTGCTTTATGCATCGTGGGAATGCAAAATAAACTTACACACATGACTATCATAAGAAGACGATATGTCTCGAGCAAGACCCAGGTACCTAGGTCAATGGTTATTGTTAGAGTTAGAGTAGTGAGTGTATTTGTTATACTTATCTTTTGTGTGATGGTGTTGGGCTCATAATTTCTGCATGTATTTTGTGATTTTAAAAAAAGATTTGTTATCGTCATTCAGTTCGAAATTAAGATAAAATATTTGCCAATAAAGCGCACTCATCATTTTACATCGTTAAAGGTCCAAATGTTAGTACGCGGTGTTTGGTGTTTGATTTGTAAGCTAATCTTGTCTGTAAGTTTATTAAATAGTTGCGTAGTTTTCTATAAAAGTAAAAGCTCATTTGAAAAAAAACCGAGACGTTAAGGATGTCAAAATTCCAAATAAAAAAAATTTATGCGTCCATTTGTGGCGGGCGGGCGATCGGCGTCCGGAGCATATCTCCTACACGCATGGAGGAATTTTATTAAAACTTCATAGAAATGTTCATCACTATAACAAGCCGTGTTGCGCACATAACACCCGTCTGTAGGCCAAAGGCCAAGGTCACACTTAGAGGTCATTAAAAACGATTGTCCGGAGCAAAACTTCTCCATGCATAGAGGGATTTCAAGATAACCTGGCACAAATAATCATCATTGTAAAGCGATGTGTCGGGTGTAAATTTTAATCCCGGTTGTCAAGGTCAAGATCACACATAGTGGTCACAGTTAAGATAGGTAAAGATGACGTTTAGAGGCCATTGAAAAACACTTTTCCGGAGGAAAACTTCTACATGCATAGAGGAATTTTAATATAACTTGCCACAAATGTTCAGCATTGCAAGATTGGGTATCGCATGCAAAATTCAAGTGACTGTGGCAAAGATTGAGGTCATACATAGTGGTCAAAATTCAGATAAAAATATTAAGATATGTATTCGGACCATTTAGTCCTCAGTTAATATTTGTGAAGCTAAGTATTGCGCTCATGATCCGGGTTCCTAAAGTCAATGTCACATACAGTGGTCAAGGTTTGTGTAAGGGGACTATTAAGTTATCATTTATTGATAACTTGTAACATAAAGAAAACTATCATGACTACAAGTGTGACACCTGTAATCTAGGTTAATATTTGCAAGCTTAAGGTCACTAGAGATGATAAAATATCTATATATTGTCCGGATATTGCCCAGAGCACATCTCCTATATGCATATTTATAATACCCACATCTCTGACAAAAAAAACTTTGTGACGAGCGTATTTTGCAGCAATGTTACCCTTGTTTGATATCTGTTTTGTGTACATTTCTAGAAAATAAAAAAAGATTTTTTTGTGTGTTTCAGTAAGATATCTAATAGTGTAAAGCCATACACATACAATAATGACATGTTTGGTTAGCAACTTGTAAACAATAACCACGTTTTTTAAACAATTTGTTAATTTAGTTGGTGGGGAAGAGGGGTTTTGATGTCAAATATGCTATAAAAACGAATGTTGTAGTGATGTAGTAATGAAAATTATTCTTCCTCATAGCGGCTGATACAGATAGAGAATGACATAGCTACATTGAAAGCTTCAGGTGATCAACAGAAAACCAAAGAAAGGCTGAAATATTTGGAGGATAAACAAAGTAAGTGGTATTCATGATATTATGATAACAAATCAGTTTTTCTATTGCACCACAGATCGGCGATCGCTCAATCTGCATTTTGTTTGATTTTTTGATAATGAAAATATTTCTACGAATTAGTTATGTTTTTGAACAGAGTCGATACTTTGACATAGTTGCTTATAGAAGTTACTAGAACGCTGTCATTGATATAGCTGCTGTAAAGTTTACGCATTTACACTGTTTTATTATGAGTATATACCTATAACAGGATATAATTAGAATTATGATCAATACTCACGTCAAATAGTAAAAATGTGTGGGCATACCACTAAAACGACATTGATTTGATTTATAACTTCTTGAAATATCGACATGTATCTAATTTTCAGTATAAACAATAGAAAAAAACTTACATAATCTAAGTGTCACAGTGTCTATTTTTTACTTGTTCTCAGAGTTACAGGGAGAGCTTGTTAAATATTACCAGAAGTATTTTCTGAAGACATCGGTTTCTCCTTTGAAGCAAGAGGAAGATAACATTAAGGTAAAAGATGTATATGTACCTCCTGAGATAGAAGTTATCGAAGAAAAACATTTTGATAATACGGATAAAATGAAGCAAAAGACGCATGAGAAGAAATATGTGAAAAGATACCAGGAAATCTTTCAAACTAAAAAGCAGCAGAATAAGAAGATTTATATAGTGGGCGACGTTGGAACAGGAAAGAGTTTCTTCTGCAAAATTATGATTGAAAACTGGTGTGAAGCGGTTAATGTTGCGTCAAGAAAAGAAATAGGCGATGAAATTATTCACATATCCAGTGAAATAGATATATACACCGTCAACCGCTGCTGACCCCATGATTTTATTCAGATGGGACATATATGAAGTTTCCTCTTTTTACCGAACATGAGATAAGTGTCCAGCATTTAAGATCTGTGTCGCCTGAATAGAATGAATCAATAAGATTGCATAGAAACCTCACTTCAAATACAGAGTTAATTGACAAACTATTTGAAAAAGACTCTCAGAGTTGTCTCATCATTTTTGACGGCTTAGATGAATGGATAGCTCCACAATCAAAACGATTTGCTCCCCATGTAAGTTACGGAATACCAAACGTTGACCTGGCAAGAGATGCAACAGTCATTACATTATCTCGACCATCTGCAAAAGGAATACTCAATTTGAAAGATTCAGAAGTTGATCTCAAGTTACAACTATTAGGCATATCTTATGAATCATTAAATTCATTCATAGAACGATATATTTCAAACATGACCGGAAAGTCTTACTCTCAATTTATTACAAGTGTGACGTCAAAACAAATAAAGCATATAGAGAAAACACCATTACTTTTGCAACAACTACTTTGGTTATACTGTAATGGTACAGACCTTGGTGAATCAGTTAGTGAAACTTACTGTCAGATTTTGAATACCATGTTTGGTTGGACAGATCACAAGGCAAAAGGGCGGACAACTCGATGCAAAGAAAAAATTAAACTGTTTATGCACAAAGATTTCAAGATTAAAAAACATAATATAGGAAGATTGCATAATGAAACCAATTATACTTAAACATCAAAGACATAATGTCCATTTCATAGTCTTATCAAAATGATCTTGGGTCAGCAAATTTTGATTATCTAACGAGCTAAAAGATTTGGGGATCTTAATGAAACTCAGCTGCTTGAGCCCAACATTGGATGATACACAAGGCTTTATCCATACTCTTATATATGTAGTTTTTCCGCCGCAATATAATTAGGTACACACATAACCATTAACATGTGGAATCTATGTCGCTTCTATTGAACAAAATAGATTGAAGTTTTGGTTTTAGATAAGTTTTGGTACATGTCAAAACAATTTCAATGTTATCATAAAATGTAACCCCCCCCGGGTCCTTGTATGTGATTTGTCTGAACGAATTTCAAGTATTGTGAATACGGATGGACAGATTTTACGTCTAAGAAGAAATCAGAACATAGGATGGAATGACGAGATTGTTCAGATTCAAAATCTCATTGAAAATTGTCTCCAAGAGAGTGGTTCTGATGACACGACAATGATCAGCCTGAGTGATCTTAAGATAAAATATTATAAACCTTTTCCACGTATACAAAGAATCAAACCAGGTGATGTGATTTCTTTGACTATAGATTTAGAAGAAACATTAAGTGAAATATTTGATGAAATCAACCACTTCAATTGCATTAAATATCTTAAGGAATTTACAGAACAATGCAAACAGGTGCAATACATGCGTATAGATTTGGGTCCATCCGAAAAGAACGAAAAATTTCCATTTTCATTTTCCGAAAAGGTAGCTTTAAAACAACTAATGTTATGTGGTGTGAATAATTGTGATATTAACCTCTCTATGCAAAATCAGCTTCAGATACTGGATTTGACCGACTGTCATGATATTCATATTTCTCATCTTAACACTGAAAAACTTGAACGAGTACATTTTAAAAGTTGTAAATTTACATCTGATTTAGATTGTTTATTAAATGCCAACAAATTAACCGATCTTAACCTAGAATGGCATTCTGGTAATTTGTTATCACTACCATCAGTATTACAACAAGCACCTTACAGACAACTGGTATTAGATATTGTGAATTGTGACCAGTGCAGTGTTCATAATATTGATTTGTCTAGGCATAATCATCTGCAACAGCTTAAGGTCGTAGGGTGTTCATGTGATACTAGGATACCTGTGTTAGAGTTCAATATTTCACCAAACACCAGCAAACTTGTTAAACTTTACCTAAGAGGAGTTACTGCTAATATTGCATCACTGGTATCGTTGATACAACAAGCGCCGTTAAAACAACTGACCTTGGTTCAAGTGTCTGATCAACACTCTGATGTTGAAAGTCCTATATTAGATGTATCTCGTGATCATAATTGTAATGAAAGTCATACCATAGGTGTATCTAATGATAAGTATGTTGATAAAGATCCTACGATCTTTGTATATGATGGCCAGTCTGATCTTCAAGGTCATTTGAGTGTTGTATCTAATGACCAGTTTGTTGATGAAGGTCATATCAGAGTTGTATCTGATGATCAGTCTAGTGATGACAGTTATATGACATGTGTATCTGATATTCAGTCTATCGATGGAGATGATAGAAGTTGGGCAAACAACGATCATTTTCTTGATGAAGATGTGAAATTTGATTCTGATGATGAGCTTGTTGATGAAGGTCATGCTGGTCAGTTGCTGAGAATCATATCAGTGATTTATTTGATAATTCGTCTGCCGATGAAGGTCATATCTGATATTTATCTGATGATCAATCTGTTTATTAAGAGCCTAACCAGAGGTGAATCTGATGAACATCATGATTACGAAGGTCATATCAGTGATGTATTGATTTAAAATCCTGTTGCTGAAAAACCATTTGAAATTTGGGAAGAAAAGGTCACTGGGCGATGAAGGCATTCCCAAATTTTTTACAAAAATGATCAGGCTTTAAAAAATGAATGTTTTATGAGAAAAAATATCTTATAATCAGTTAAGTTATGAAGGTCCTATTAGAGGTGTATATGAGGATGATTTTGTTGAAGAAAGTCAAACGAAATTTGTATCTGATGATAAGTCTTTTGATGGAGGTCGATCAAAATCTGTATCTGATGATCATATTATACGTATATCTGATGATCAATCTGATAATAAAGCTCCTTTGATATGCGTATCAAATCAGATTGTGGGTAAAGGCTCTGTGTATGTAATAAATCTTTCTAAGCATAACGAGCTCCGAGAACTTAAGATTGATCACTGTGGTAAAATAGGAATTTCTAACATAAATACTGAACAACTTGAACATTTATACATTGATTACAGTAAAGTCGATTTTAGCTCCAGTTTTACATTACCAGTATTAGACCCTTAACATTTTAAAAACCTCAGGGAAACCCCAAATTTAGGGGTTTGCCTCCAAGGTCCCCCTGGGTTAAAAATGGCATCACTGTATTGTTATTTCAACAACAAAAATTAAGAAAAAACGATTTGATAAGTGTAAACCCATGGTCCTTTGGTTGCTAAAAATCATGTAAAATGTAACAGAAAACCTTTTTAAGCAAAACCAGGCTGGGGGGAGTTAAAATGGAAAACGTTTATCAAAAAAGAATTTTCAACATAAAAACTGAACAACTTGAATATGTAAACATTCATGACAGCAATCTTAATTTCCTATCTGGTACATGTATACCGGTACTGGACTCGAATTCATTCAACGGTCACAAAGACCTTGAACTTCACCTTGAAGTAGTTACAGTTAATGAAGGTTCACTGGTAACTCTATTGCAACAAACCAATTTGAGACAATTGACTTTGACACGTGTATATGGTGATCAATATGATGCTGGAGGTAAAATGCACGTAATACAAGTAGATCTGTCTAAACAAAACAATCTTCAGATTCTTAAGCTGTCCCACTGTAAGAATATCAAAATTACTCACCTAAACACCGAACAATTAAAACATGTTCATATTATTGATAATACCACTATATTAGATTTTGGGCTCTTGTCAAATGCCAGCAGGCTGACTAAACTTTACGTGGAACATCATATTGGTGAGTTGACATCTCTGCCACTAGAGTTACAACAGGAACCATTTAGACAACTGACGTTTGAAAGTGTAGAATTTGACCAGGATGAACATCAGAGACATCTCCAAAAACATAAGATTATCAAGTGTTGTGTTACAATGAATAAAGGAATAAACAACGACCAAATTACACAGGTATACATCGAAAATGGCCTCCTCCACTACTCTTCCATACCAGTATTACAGTACATTATTTCAGTAAACAAAAGCAAACTCATTGATCTTTACGTTAAAGATGTGAATTGTGACAATTCATCAATAGCGCCGTTAATACAACACACTTCTATAAGACAACTTACGTTGACCCGTGTATCTGGTGACCAGTTAGGCATTGAAGGTCATATGCATGAAGTACATTTAGATCTTTCAAAACAGAAAGAGCTTCAGAAATTGGAGCTTACTAGTTGTAAAAATATCAAAATTACTGAATTGAACACTGAAAAGCTTGAAGAGTTACATATTGAACACTGTCCCGGTATGGTAGAATTTGATCTTCTAGTAAATGCCAACAAACTGATCAAACTTTCCTCGCAAGATAATAAAGATCGGTACAGCAAACAAGTAGATAACGTCATGCATAGGTTACACCATCTTCGGGAACTCAAGTTATTGAATGTAGATATAGATGATAACGCTCTTACTGTAACAACAGAGATGAAAAGTCTTGCAAAAATTGAAATAAAAGATACAACCATGAGTCTCGGCACGTGGCGTATATTTGCTGATAGTATTCTTACTCTTCATCAGCCTGTGTTTATCCATGCACGCTCAACAGAAGAAGAGAAACGTGAATTTGTTAGAACTCACCCTAAGTTTGAAGTGATGAGGGATTGGATATATTTCTTTGACTTCAGATCAAGGAAATAATGTAATCATACAAATACATTGGATAACTAGATGATCATATTGATGTAATTGATATTCTAGCCGATATATAAAAGATTCTAATGTAAAGGCATATGGTAAAAAATTCGATTGATTTCTTGATCAACTCAAATTGCTGTATTTTAAATGGTAGAAATTGTAAAATAACGATTTATGTATTTTGCTATTTTAAATAATAGACTAAGTAATTGGGCCGAAAGTCTAGATACCATTGTTGATGAACAGAATGAGTTCAGAAAAGAAGAGCTATTGATCATTTATCTACTCTATTAAACATTATTGATGATACGAAAAACGTAAACATTTGACGTTTTTATTGATTTTAAAAAGACTTATGATTA